TTGTGAAAGGCTGTCCACAAGATTAACCATAGTCACATGGAATATCCAGAACCAAGGGAGGTACTGGGAACCTGGCAGGGAACTACTGACTCATTTATCATGGAATCTTGACAACCATGATTATTCAGGGTACTGGTATAATTTCTAATGAACAAAATGGTGACTATTTCAGGCTCATCCTTACATCTTAAGAAAACATGCCCTTCCAGAGCCCTACGGTTAAACTTCACTTCCCGTAATCAAGAAGCAAAGAACCCTCCCTCTGTCTATCTATCTCCCAAGATTTTCAACTCAACCACATTTGCACCATTATCACCAAAACTTTGCTGAACACAAAAAATTATCTTTAAAAAAAAAAAAAAATCTTCATGAAGAGTCGAAATGAGGTCAGTAGACCACAGCTTTCTTGGATTTCCCCTCCTCCCCTTACGCTTTGCTGTCTTGGCCCACATCTTCAAATAAGCCCGCATCACTGAGGGGATGTGAGTGCCAAGGAGACCCGGAAGTCAGTCCAAGAACCAGGTGGGGGTAGCTCATTCTGTCCCACTCTGCCGAATTGCAAGAGAGTTTCAAATATGCAATTCTAGACTGGAATTACTTGCCAAAAAAAAAAAAAAAAAAGAAGAAGAGGATATGTTAGGAATGAATAATACTCAGATGCTGTCTTCCAAATAATGTGGTGTATTGTGAAAACACTGGCCTGGATGTCGGGGATTTTGGATTGCCATCAATTACGATCTTTCCAGGCCCCAATTCCCACTTTAAAGTGAGAGGCTCAATGAGGCCATCTCCAGGACCTCTGCACTCTGAAATGCCACATCTCGATGACTCCAGAAATTCAGACCTTTTTGTATAGTCATATTTTCTACATCCTCCCAGATGAGCTTCGGTTCCCAGAGTTCCCAAAGAAAAAAGTGCTGCTCTCCTGTCAAGACCTGGATTCCATTTCTTTGCTACTACAATCTTTCTGTAATTCAGTTTCTTTGTAAAATATTTTCCAAACAGGTCTCAAAGATTTCATGAGGAAAATAACAAGTGAGAAAATGCTTTGAGAGAAAAAGAGAACATTGTTACCCAAATATTAAATAAAAATGATGTTCTCATTTAGGCCATTTAAATAATTTACTCTTTTCATTTTCTTGACTGTAACTTGAGAATATTTCCTATTAGTGTGTGATGAGCAGCTGCCCAAGCAAAGTTTTTGTACAGTCAATAATCACTCCCAAGGGGTGCAGAGCGGAGATTAGAATGTGGGAGAATGGTTCGTTTGAAGTGTCCATGAGCATAATTACCTGGCAAACATAACTACTTCTATGGATAGAAAAAAGTACATCCCCTCAACGAGGGGTGTGGATAGATATAGCTTAGCTATTAATTTGTCACCAGAGAACTTAGAAATATTTTTGTTCTTTCTCAAAATTATCACCTAGCATCTTATAAACATTTATACCGTTCAGTGAAACCTAGAGAAGTACCTACCATTTCTCTCAATAGAGTAAGGCTAAGCCATTATAAAAAAGATTTCTTAACTTCCTTATATTACAGCATTCTTATGAAAAAGACAAGTATATTCATTTTTACATTATGTGCTTTTGTTTGAAACTCCTTTAGTACTTTTAAAAAGTTCTTTTAAAAATGAAGCATCTTGTTTCTCTAGCTTTGTGCCAGCGCAAAACATTCAACTTTCTCAAATTCCTTCCCTTAAAAAATTTCAATAAGACGCTGAAAAGAATTGCAGAGGCATTGATTTCTCTCGCTCTAACACAAGAATCCTCCTCACAGCATATGGGCAAGAGTTACTTAAACTCCATTCGAATTTTTCCAGTTATAGAAAATCAAGACCTCACAAGGCAGCCCGTTTTACTTCTGTACATCTCTTCTGGCAAGAAGCTCTTCTTTATTCCAATATTTACCTCTCCGTTTTGTCTTTTGTCCTTATCCTCTAATTTCACATTTGAAAAGCTCTGGGCATCTCTACATCACAACAATTCCCTCAGATATTGAACACAGCAATAAGAACCTTGCCTTTCTTTTTCTGCCCATGAAGTTTTCCCCGATATCGTTCAGACACATTGCATTCCTAGAACTAAAATTTTAGAAAAAGCTTAAGACTTGAAGGAGAGATCTTCCATCGCATTTCAAAGCCTGAGACTTAGATCTTAAGAATTGATGATGCAATGAAACCTGGCTGGAGAGGTCATTACTTTCCCATGCAAGATCCAGAATTCTGCTAATGGCTCTGCAAATCATAATCATTTTTCTTTTTAACTACTACTTGATATTTATAAAATCTGCTTTGATGACTTACTAGTTTTTTAAATCAAAAATCTGCACAGGAGATATAGCTGAAATGGCATGAAATATAGCTGAAGTAGAATAAAAATGGATCTGTTCCAACTGAGCAATGGTAAGGATACTGATTGGAAAGAGAATGTGCATATATCCCAAGAGGCTTCGAGATGTGACACCCCATCATCTGTGAGCGAGCAGAGATTGTTTCTTGAGATAGAGTTTGTAAGCACAGGATGTGACTTCATATTCAGAAACCATTTTAATTTGAATAATTGTGCAAAAACAAACTGTGAGAAGAAAGGGAGAGCACATTCTAGCCCAGAAAAATACATACATGTTATTTTCTGGAATTGCACAGGAGTATTTCCTAAGAAAAAAGGGATAATGCTCATCTTTAGAATCCCAGAAATGTGCAGAATGTAAGCTTTCTTTGTCAGCAAAACGTCAGCTATCATTCGATAGGAATTTTATTGTTGTTAGGGCTATATACATAAACACACTCAATTTCCTCTAGTACTTAGAAAGGGAAATCTCCACCAGGAATCACAAAACAGGCACCGACCGTTCTTGGACTACAGCTCAGTTTATATCGTAAATGTCATAGACCTATTACAAATTATGTCATGTTACACAAACATAAATAGTATTTTGAAAAACATCTTCGACTTCCCATTGCCTTTTTCTTTCTTTTGAGAATAGTGCCTTTAGCCTGTTTCTGACAGCGTGACGTCACCGGCACCTCTACCACCAGGTCCCTCATCCACACCTCCCACACCATTTCCCAGTTGAAATTTAACAAATCTTAGGGGCTTGCTCAGTTATTGTAGCGTTATTTCTAGTGCAGTTTTCAGTGTACACTTTTATAAGTGTGCATTGTTCAAAAGACCTGTAAGAATACTGATTCTTCAAAAGACCTATAAGAATACTAATTATTTGTATATCTGTATCATATTATATGGTGATTATAAACCACTGATGATAGCAAATAAAATTACTTTTAGCTATCCAAAAACATATCTGAATTTCACATGTACCTCATTTTACCCCCACTGAGGCACATTTGATCAAAGAGTAAAGCTTCATTTTAATCAAACTTATAAAAAGTTATGCTAAAAATTTAATACAATCTTCCTTACATCAAATGGATATTGACTGGGCACATGCAACTCACTGCTAATTTCAGAGTAATTCAAAAACTCCCTTGTGAATTCGTAAATTCTCCTAAAAAAAAGTTTCTAATTAAACAGCATAACTATGAAGAGTGCAGGATTTGGAATCATACAGAATGTTGATCTGAACTCTTGATTTTCCACTTAACTTCCAATGCTAATTATTATTTGTATGAATCACATGACTAATAGTTATCTTCTATGTATGTGCTGAGAATTACCTGGGGGGAAAAATGTATATAACTTGCTTAGGACAGAGTATAAAGTTGATAAATGCTAGCTATTGTTCTTGTTATTATAGTCTAGTATTTGTGATTTCTGGTGTACATTTAACATGAATCATTCGCTTGTCTGATAGGACATAGTTGACAAAATCTTACCTGAATATTATTAACTCTAGAAACAGATTAAACAGAACCCGGTGCCAAGAAATTGGGAAATACCTGAATCACAGCAATCTGTACTGTAGATAGGTTATTTTTGTCATTGTTTGATTGAGTTTAAGTTCAGCTTGTTTCATTATATGAGAAAGTATTTTTTTCAATATTTATTTTCCTAGAGACCTATCAAAAACAAATGAAATCATAATCATTTCACATTTTATTAAGTTAAATAAATACTTAATAAATATTCATGTGGATCACACAGTATCTCAAAGGTCCAATTTGTGGTTCTGATGAGGTTTCCTTCCTGTGGTTCTAACCACGTTATGTCTGAGCTGGGTCGGGTGTTTCCAGGCTTTCAGAAGATGAGATATTTAATGCTTTTCATGTGAGTCATAAATGTAAACAGCGCTACTTGTTCTGTGCTTCTGGAGTTCAAGCTTTTTTTTTCCAATAATATCTTTTTAAAAAAATCTTATTTATATATTTTTTATGGTGGCATTGGTTAACGAAATCCAATAAGTTTCGGCTATACACTTTTACAGTAAGGCATCTATATATTTACACTGTGAGGGGCAGGGGCGAGGGAGACAGGGCAAAAGGGGTCAAATATGTGGTGACAGAAAGAAATCTAACTATGGGAGGTGAACACACAGTGGAGTTCAAGCTTTAAGGGGCATTGTTTGCACTGCCTGCTGGGCAGTCATTGCAAAGGACTCATCGCCATCTAGTGCACATCGGAAGTATAGCCGGAGGGACTCCTGCTCAGAGAACTGACTCACTACGCACACTGCAGTAAATACAGTGTCTCAACACAGTCCATTTTTTCTTTTACTTTCTATATCACTAGATTTTAAAAACTTCAGGTCCTGCCTAACTCCACTGTTTTTCAAATGAGCTACATCAAAATAGAACGCCATATTACCTTTCCTGTTCTCTTAAGGGCTCAATCAAATAAGGTGTTGCTCTATTGCAGACTTGCGTTGCTACGTTTTTATCACTTGCCCCTGACATTGTGTAAATACGTTTTCTCCAAATGAGGATTTTACTATGATCCACTTGAAACCACAGCATGCTTCTCACAGTACAGCATGTTCTTCATTAGAGTCAGAACTGTTATCATCCCTCCCTATTTTTGATTCTTCTCTTTTTGCAGATTGTCTACAAAGCCTGGCTGTGTTCCCAGTACTTTGAAGTTGCACAGTTTAACTGCAGAAAGACAATTCCTTGCAAGCAATACTGTTTGGAAGTTCAGACGAGGTGTCCGTTTATATTGCCTGACAATGATGAAGTCATTTACGGGGGACTCTCCAGTTTCATCTGTACAGGTACAGAGCACGGCACGGTTTCGTCGCCTAGCCTTTCATGCTTTCTTATGTGATGTTTGTTTGCTTTGTTGCTACTTTCCACCGATGTAACCTTGAAGATATGCTTGCTCATTTTCCATGGTTTCCTTCATAGAAGTCTTAAAAGGACTTCATTTGGAAATGCCACATGAACTGTAGTCTATCTGTGACCACAATCATTATCTTTGTAAAAGGATAATTCTGAGGGCAAAATGTCAGCAATCATTAGACATGCTTAAATTTGACTTAGAGTAAGTTGGGGTCTGCCTACATTGCCTTTGTATAGCCTAAGAAGAAATCATGTTTCTTCTTCAAATTAATAACAAGTTTATATGCCAAGTCTATTTTCTGAGAAGTGTTTTGTTACTTTACCTTAAGCCAGTATCAAGAGCATTAAAAAACATCTACCTGTTATTCACGTGTGTGTGTGTGTTTTAGAGCCACATGATAAAGACCAGATAAAATTTTATCTTATATTTCCCATGAACAATATTCACTTTGCATTGCATAATTTAGACACAGAATAAGATATAAAAGATAAGAGTCGATTGTTTTTGACATAAATGGTGAGTGGACAAGTGAGAGCATGACGCTTTGCCTGGCGATGTGCTCTTCAGAGTTGTTGCTCTATGTTCTCGTAGTAACAAAGTGCTGTGCAATATCCCTGCAACTAGAGGGTCTGATCATAGCACATGTAGTTTTCAAGTTTTAAGAATAAAACACCTTGATAAGTATTGAGAAACATGAAACCCCTCTTCTTATATCAGACTTTATAAAAGCTCCGTAAGACAGTGACATATTGAGATGCTCAACATGAGAATTTATCAAATCACTTCTAGATCACTTATTTACATGCCTATACTGTTCTAAGTCTAGGTGATAAGCTATCAAGAGACAGTCCACCAAAGCTCTCCAGTAAGAACCCACCTGAAAACTGGATGGGCATTTCTTATGCCGCCCAGCGCTGTGGGAAGGACATCTAACCGAAGGTTAGGAGACACGCACTTCCTTTCTCTTTCTACTATGAATTCTCTCTGAGCCACCATTTCCTCACTGGTAAATCAGTAATAGCAACATCTTGACGCACGTTTGCTGTAAGGATTAGAGATAAGGGAGAAGCACGAGACACGTCATCAATAGGCCATAGCCATTGTGTTTAACAAAGTGATTTCTGAAGTGTAAAATGACTTACCAATCATTTTTGTTATTCCATTGACTTAATGTGAGATCATTTTTCATGTAGCTCCTCTCTGATGGGGAAGACAGAGGGAAAGCAAGAGTGAGAGAGACGTTTGAAAGACAGAATGAAAGAAAGGAGGAAGGAAGGAAGGAAGAATGGAAGGAAGGAAGGAAGGAAGGAAGGAAGGATATTAATATCTTCTTCCTTTGAATCTGAGCCCAAATTCACCAAACACAGGCTGTTAAATTACTTGATTTTCACATGAAATTTTCAATAAAGGGTCATCAAGATAAGGCCTTCAACTCAATGATGATTTTAGGACTTCAGAGAAACTCGTGGAATTTTATGTAAAGTTTGTATGTTTGTTCATTCACACGCATGTAGATTTTTTTTCTAGAGATGTTCAGTAGCTTTTGCCAGGTTCTCAAAGTAGACAACGACCTTAAATTAAGGGTAAGGTAGTTGTCTTCATCTACTCCTGGTTCCTGCTCTGTTATCAGTATGTGTGAAATATGGGTTCAGATGTTCATCCCCTTTCTTTGTATGCTTTCAAGGCTGTCAGAAAGCTAAAAATGAGATTTAATCTCTTTCTGCACAATATGAGCAGAAGGTCTACCTTATATTTTTAATTATGTTTGAGTTTTGTAAAATCAGCTTTTTCATAGCCATAGCTATATCTCATCTTTTTTTCAAAGACAGGATAGAGACTTGCCATTGAGTCCAGAGAAAAATGCCATTGATGTTAGAAGCTTTCGGGGACAATCTCATCACTGAATATTTGGGAATCTAACTTTTCTTTCACTGCAGTCAGTTGGGCTCATCTTCCTTTTATTACTAAACTTCTCAAAAATGTGCAGAATAAATTCTGAAGGCATTTTTTCCTGAAATTCTGTAAATTTTTTCAACAAAAATGGTACTAATTTTCAGATTGATCCTCTTTTCTAAAGTGTGTCCCAGGCCTCCTTGAAGAAACATTGTCTGTCTTGATAACTAGCAACCATCATTTTCCACTTTATGTCCCAGAGGTCCCTGGAGTGTTGCTGCTGGCCTGAAGAGACATATTTACTGATGCTAATCGCTTGCTGCTTTGTCACTACTGATGAGGATCCCCAAAATGGGTCCCAGAATAGTCTCCTTTTAGGCAGAAGTTAGGCCAGAGAACACTTCCTAGAGACCACTGGTTAAACCTATGGATCCAAGTGACTTGTCACATTTCTAGGGAAATTAGTAAGACTTTTATATTTATCTCCAAATATTATCACACAATTTTTTGGAGGCTCAACTCTTACAGATGGACATGAAGATACAAAAACTTACCTTTTCGATAAGTTCGAAGTGAATACGAGTCTTCTCAAATGCCTTTATATATTTTGAATGAAGTGTCTTCTGTCCTCAGACAGAATTAGACCAAATATAGTAGAGAAATAGAAGTACTTTTACTAGTTTCCCAGTTGACTGCAGATAATCTAAAGCCATCTGATGACAGGCTCATGATAACTTTCCATGTTTGCAAGTAATAGCAGATCTGTTGGACTTCTTCCTCTTTGAAAAAAGGTATAACGACAATCACTAACCAAAATTTTATTAACCAAGTCGGTTGGTCTTCATTTAAAAAAATATGATAAATGGTTTTATTTCTGTTCTATATACTGAAAAATATAATCATTTATTATCAAGAGTTTAAGTAATAGATGGAGTTTCCTTCAAATTCAATGTATTTAATTACAGTGATTTCCCTATGATTGGAAATATTTCCAACTCATAGCTTTCAGAAGGATAGAGATCCCCTCTAAGAATCAACCTCAAATAAGTATTCAGTAAGCACATAACTACACACGGCTCATTGCCAGATGCTGTCCAAGTGGGGATCAATTTTTGTTTAAGGTGCTTCTCCATGGTGACAACCAATTATCGTGGCGATGATTTTTCCTTAGAGTCCTCTGCATCCAGCCTTTTAGAGATGTAGAATTTAGGATGCCCACTTTTTCCTCTCCCAGAGGCTTTTACTAGATATTTATTTATGCTTATGATTCCTATCATCAAAGAAAAGCACGTTCCAGTCCTTGGGATCAGTTAACCAATTAGAAGAGTCAGAACATATAAAATTTCTTTAAATAATCAGGATTTGTTCATAATTGTTGTAACAGTTTTAGGTTCAATATTTAAAGCATTGTTTCTCTATAATGCTTACATTACTTACTCATGTCCTAAATTTGAATGTTTGAAGTTTTTATGTTTCGATCATCTACTACTTAATGTGTCTATGATCCTTAGTAAGCCCATAACTAATGAAAAGAAAAAAAAAACCCTGAAATATCTGAGCATCCACTTCTGTTGCTATACAATGTCTTTGACTGAGGATAGTACAGAAGGTCATGACCAAAAGTTCTGACCACAAACCTAGATGACAAGAAGAGCCCCTCCTTGTATGTTTAACTCTGCTTTCATTTTAGAAGAGAAAGAAAAGACACTTTGTCTGAGATCTCTCTCTCTCTCTCTCTTTCGTTAAAGAATAAAGCTGACACATTGCTGAAGGAATTGCTTGAAAAATTAATTAGGGATGAATTCTGAGGCACTGTCAGGGTGGAACCTGTCATTTCATGTTAGTCATTATTGAACTAAAATTTTTCAAGTGGGTTCTGTTCTCAAACTCAGTTCAGATGACACATTGCTATTTTAGAAACTTGGTTTCCTTACCTTTAAAGTGAGGAGGTGGAGTCATTTGTGGATTCCACGTTGTCAACTCATCACTGTGGTAATTACACAAGTTTCCCCTCTGCATGCTCCCTTGCCTTGTTCTAGAATCCCTTAGAGAAATCCTTGATTGCTTACCTGTAGTAGTGAACCAACATTAAGAAAACAGGAGTAGCAGAGGATCACAGGCTGTGGATGCTATGGTAACAAACATTATGAAAATTACCATTTGATTGATAGATAAAATAGACTCAACATGAATTGCCGCTATATTTTTCATAGAGAAATTATTGAAAGAAATAAGAGTAAAAGTTGGTCTGCTGGGGTTACTGACAATGGAGATAAAACATATTTTGAGAACTATATGTAAATTTTGCGTTTCATTTTGTAGCTGTGACAAGAATAAGGTTATGTTTCTGCCTCTTGGGAAAATACTGTGGGCTGCTGTTGGTTACTCTGACAGGCTTGGTAATGATGCTGTGGAGGACGCGCGCCCCCTCGTGGTTAAGACTCTGCTACTGCAAAGGATCTTAAAAAGATTATTGCCTGCAGGCAAGGGAAGTAAATTATGGGTTGAGAGAAAAAGATGGGTATACAATACTTTGACATGTATATTGATCAAATTAGAAAAAATATTTATGTTTTGTGTCTCATAATTCACATGAGAGAGTTCACAACTATGAAAGATCATTTCCAAAATCCAGTTTTGACACGACTAGGGAGTTGATAAAGAATTTTATAAGATACCATGACATAAAAAAATTTTCTCATTAAAGGAGTATTTCAGTAGAAAAATATGCTACCTATAGATTTAAATTTCTACTTCTATGCTATTTTTAATTTATATATTTTCTCCATTGTGCAAATATGTTTTTTTTTTTTCTAAAATGAGGGAGTTTCTTTAAAAAGAATAATGAAATGACACTAGTTTTAGCACAATTTGATGCCATACAAAATTTTCTCATAAATGTATAAAAAAATTTAAGCCAAAAGAGAAGTGTGAATGGAGAGGATGTGACCAGAATAAAATAAAGAAATATGAAAATAGGTTATAAAAAAAAATAAGTCAAATGTAAGAATTTTATGTGCTTGGGACATCTTCATCCAT